ATATATATATATATATATATAGACGTCTGTATATATAAGTATACAAATAGTACGACGCAGCGATCCCAAAAGTGGCGACCAAACTTGGAGGGAAATTCAAATTGGCGATCTGGAGCCAGACGCAAAACCGCAGATAACTCGACAAAATTTCATACACCATAACTTGATAAATTAATCCCAAGCTATTGAACCCAACAACCCAATGCCCTCATAAGCAGTCTCACGAGCTTTGAAAATTAATAAAATACATTAAACAATAACACAAGCGCCAATCACCGTACAACTCAAAACGCATTCAGGCCGATTACTTAATTTATAAAGAATAAAATAATAGTTAATCACTACACAATAGCACTACACAATAGCTAATCACTACACAACCCGTGGCGCTTCAAGGTCGCTTTAATAATTTATAATAAATAAAAAAATAACACAAGCACCAATCCCCACACAACCTGGGGCGCTTTCTAGTTGCTTTAATAATTAATAAAATAAACAAAATAACGCGAGCGCTAATCCCCACATAGCACGGGGGGACATATGGATAGAAATCCATGTTCGATGTTGTGTCTCGTTCTACTTGTGCTTCAGCGTGGTACATAAGAACGAGCAGTCTATTTTTCTTATATGTCTATGCTTTCTGCTTTTACTGTGAATAGTGTGAATAGCCCCTTAGCTTTCATATGTACATATACTTGCATGGATGTGTATTTGGGTATACACTAGACACATATAAAGATATTATTCCCTATGGGTATACATTCATACGTGATACGTACTCGCATATATATGTGAATATGTACAAATAGTGTGTATATATATTTAGCATTGTAGATGGATTGAAGTTTGACGACAAGTCAGTCCGTCAGGGGCCTCGCAGAGTTGCTTAGTATTTCATTCTTTTTAAGCTATTTCTATAGTAGATAATTTATCGTGTTCTAACGGAAATTGCTTTCTCGATTCTTGAAGACCAAGACTATATAATCATGACCCGTAAGTATTCATCCTCTATTTCTACGACACCCATACATGTTGAGTAATATTTCAACAATACATGCATACCCATTTCTCTCGTCCAATAATTATTCTTATTTCACTACTGAAATGTATGTAAGTATTCGTTCACGTAAATAAGTATTAGATGGTGCTCCAATTTTTGCGTGCAGCTTGCTCCTAAACTGCTCGTTTCACACATTTTCCTTACTGTCATAAATAGGTAAACAGTCTTTGGTAGCTAAATGAACTCTGCTCTCAGTAATAAAACCAGTGTTATATTATTTTCATCACAACTCCGTTTCTGATCAAATAGAAAATCTTTGTTTCGCAATAAGTGTTACCAGAACTCTGAGTAAGCACACCCAAAGGCTTCTGATATTAGTAAAGTACCTGTAAATACCTATTAGTAAATACATCTTACAGAGCTGTAATATGAAGAGTTTGTAAACTATGTACTGTATGTTAGTATAGTTTGTAGAAATTAATCGCTCCAAGTGATCATGAACCCCACAAGAATTTAAAAATCTAAGAATTTAGTACATGAAACCGAAAATGCTTTGAACCTGATCTTCTAAAGCCTAATAATCTGAGTCTTAAGGCTTGAACTCATAAGAAAAATAGTTTTTTGTGTTTTAAAAAGTTTTATAATTTTTTTACATCTGTGAGAAAGACGTGCAATTTTTAAATGTAGTACTAACACACTAAAACACAAATTCATCCTGTTGTAACAAGCTTACACCCTTCCTTAAAAGATCGATTATTTATGATGACTAAAATCTTTCTGTTACACGTCATTGGTTGAAACAAATAGAGTGGATTGTTGATCGGAATTTTTTAAAGATCAATTGCATTAAATCAGAGCAATAACCAAAATGGAATAAGTTTACTGTACAAAAAAAGATTAAAAAGTGATCCTGTTCAATTTGTTTACATGTTAAAACAATGTAAACAGTGTTTGATAAATCATTGTTCAATAAATGAGTGAAAAATACAATAGCAAAATTCCGTTCTCTTTTGGTAGTGTGGTATACTTATTGAATAATAAAAGTGACAATAAAAATAAACATATTAATTTAGATAGTGTGATGCATATTAACACAATTCATAGAATTTGGACATGGTAGTCAAATTACTATAAATTATTGAATTACTTTCACGAAAGGTGATTTTTTTGGAAACTCGAACTCGAAAGTGCAAAAACCAAGTATTCAAGTCCAAGCTGTTAAAATCAAACAAATGTTTAGTTTAAGCTTTTTCAATGCAATATTTCTTCAATATGATTGTCAGTACCTCAAGACAAGAGTGTCTCAAATACAAGTATATTGTACTGAAATGGCCTTTGTCTAAATACTCATCAAAAAAAAATAGTAAAAAAGTTCATAGCTGATTACTATTATATTTTATCCAGTGTTGAAGGTCAACAAATGTTTGTTTGGATGAGAAAAATTTAAAGATATGTAAAAGAAATCTAAATTGAAAAAAGTTTGTGATGGAGCGTTCAAAAGCTAAAATTTTTACATATTGTTCTCAGTTTGAAGCAAAAAAAGTTTTAATTTTTTAATTGTTGCTAGAAAAAGTTTGCAAAAAATTTATAGATAAAACATTGTGCTGCATCACGTATTTTACTGTGATTTTTTACTTCTTTTGCATCACTAAAGTTAAATCAGCAAATAGAATTATTTTTTGTGTACAATTGAATAATTTTTCAGATTTTGTGTAAAACAATATTCTAAAACAATGATGTACTTTTTGAAAAATAGATCTGTGAATCAGGCCTTATAACAGTTAATATTAATTTTGATATTGTATCATATTGTATTGAACTTGAAGACAGTAGGTTTGTTTGAACCCCTCTTTGGTTTGGTTCCATTCTGCACTGTGTACACTTTTTCCTACAAAATCTACCTATGTTTGGCACAACTGCAAAAAACCAGGTTCTGTTTGGTTCTGCTATGTATCCCCAGCGGAAATGTGAAAACGTAACAAAATGTTAGAAAAAGTGAACATGTGTAATAATATGCCGTAACCCGCAAGAAAATGTAAGAAAATGTAAGGAACTGTAATAGTCTCATGGATTTCGGACGTTTCTTACACTTTAATATGTTGTGTTACGTTTTTTTTACATTTTCTTACGTTTTAATATGATTTACCACATGCTGTTACACTTATACTTTTTCATAATAGTTACTCAAGTTTTTTTCATTTAAGACAAATTTTATTCGGAAATGTAAGGAAATGTGTCTAAAAGTTATCAATGATAATAAAATATAAAAAAGTGTAATAAACTGCAAAAAACTGTAAGCTGTTAAAACATTACAGATGACAACACTTCCTTAAAGTTTATTAGAGTTTACTACAGTTGCTTTTTCACGAAATTCAAGTGTTTTTTTAGAATTATAATAAAATGTAACGAATCGGAAGACAATGTGTTGGGTTGTAGTTGACTATAATCAAACGTAACAAAACGTAACAAACTGTAACTGTGGTCCGAAATCCAACTAAACTGTACATTACATCACAGAAAATTACGGTTTGCTATGTTTTTTCACACTAACTTTTTTCGTTGGGGTATGGGTAAGTTTTGTGGGAAAAAGTATATCTATATTACAGTCTTACTTAAAAAAAAAATTTAATTTTTTAAATACGTTTCAGCTGACAGAAATCTCTAAACGTTGTTGTTAAACCTTGTTAAAATTGTAAATTAATTCTAAGGTGCAATGGTACGTTCAGTACCTTGATAGTCAAATAAGTGCTTAGTCTTCTAAGTTCACCACGACACTTGCGAGCCAATTTTTTTTCGTACTGGAGTTTAAAAAGATGCGATAAAAAATATGTCGAATTAGTGCTAATATTTAACCTCTATTTTTCAATTAGTGGCAAATTCAGGCTAGATCAATAGTGCAGTGTTTCTATCATCAAATTTGTAGTAAGGCATTAACTAAAATCATTTGTCTGCCAATGTGTCAAATCGGTGCTACTTTGTTTAAGGTTCTTACGTGATTAAAATTTTAGGCGAAATTGTCACTCAGTCTTGGAGAGATTATAATGTCACTAAAAAAACAGTACATGATGAGAATTAATCCAAAATTATTTTTTTAAAGTTGTTACAAGCTTACAAATTAAAATATGTAGATAAATGATATTGAATTTACATGAAGTGATTTTGATAGATTTACCAATTAGACATAGACGATATATATTGTTTTAAAATCAATTTTAATATAATGTTTCATTATTTTAATAAAGGTATTATTAGTACATGACGTCCTTAGGGAGCAAAGTACAAACTCGAGGGCCCGAAAAGCACGGTTGTACACTAGTTGGCTAGATATTCCCGACCCCCTCCGACGAGTTGAGTAACACAGAAGTCATATACTGAAGCGAAGTACATGATTTGAGTGTCTCTCAGCTCGTCGGAGGGTGTCGGAAATATCTGGTCGTCTAGTGTACGTTTGTGTCTGAATCGCGTATATTGTTTTTCTTATCAAGGGCGGAAAGAAAAAATTTTCACCCATGGGCATACTCTGCGCCCAGTAAATCACTTTGCGCTCTAAAAAATAATAGTTTTCGTCCCAAAAGTGCTATCGCTTCCAGGGATATTTTGCGGCCTGATGTCCCGTAAAGCAGGTCTGAATGACCGTATAAGGTAACCCCGGATGGATGGCACTTGTGCGGCAAATACTATTTTTCTCTCCAAAGACGTAGTAAATGTCCAAAAGTCACGAAAAACGTCTCGAGGTAGAAATGGTAGTTTTCGCCATGGCAAGCACCAGGTCTGAGGATTCTGCAAAGCAGGGTCCTAGGGACTCCTTGTGTTTGCCCGGGTTGGATGTGGACCAGGTGCGAACCCTATTTTCCATACCGAAGGTCCGCCTAACCCTTGAAAGCAATCGAGGTAGTAAAAAGTTTTTTTTTTTTTTTTCAAACTGCAGTCATGACAGTTCATTTTCTGGGTAGAGTATAATGGGAATAATTACGATATTATATACAGAATATATTTAATATTTATTATAAAATGGAGCTTATTGCATACCACGAATTCGACACTTAATAAATCTTAATCTTTCGACTAGAACGAATTTGACATCGGTCTTCGAAGAGCGCTAAATATCAAGATAAGAATTATTTTTCATTTGATTTTTCCAGATTTAAACAAAATTTTTTTAGCACTGGTTTTCTCGCTGTTGTAAAGTTCTACACATTAATTAAAGCTGGATCACGTAATAAAGAGGTTTTATAACTAAACAGAAAATTACTTGCTATATTTTTTCAACAATGAAAATAATTCTACTAAAATTTTCGACATACTCAAATTTTAAACCGTGTAGCTATGCTATTTTTTATAAATATCCGAAGAATTGTAAAATTTTTCATGCCTTTAGTTCGTATACATAGTAATAAAGTTGCTCTTAACTTTTGTGATTTTATTGAATGTTAAGATGCTTATGATCGATAAATTTATATTCACGGAATTCATGCTGAATATGTTTGCTAAGTGTTATTAGTGAAATCATTCAATAACCCCTCATATGGTTCATAACTTTGCCAAATATTCACTCCGAGCCGATGCAGAGATTGCGCCCCCTCTAGTCAAAATCAGGCAAGGCAAGAATTCGTGCATGTACACAAACGGCTCAGAGCATATATACATGCGCATAGCTGCTTGTGATTAGCTGAACGAAACAGCAGGAGGGAATCGTCGTTCTATTTCTAGACTGCCAATGTGCCAAGTATGCTAATCACAAGCAGCTATGTGCTTGTATATAATATGCTCTAAGCCGTTTGTTTACATGCAAGAATTCTTGCCTGATTTTGGCTGGAGAGGGCACAACCTCTGCTCTCTAAAGTTGAACTAGTCAAATTTTACTGCGAATCTGTAAAATGTCGTTTACTTATTACAATAAGTAAACGACTTTTCTCTTATAATTAGTCAATATTGATTAATTTGACTAATCTTACTTTAGAGAGTGCGTTGGCTCCAAGGTTGGCTCGGAGCGAATAGCAGCCGCAGAGTTCATTCTAACCTCGAGGAGAACTTGAAATGAGATGTGTCTTACTTAAAATTGCGAACGATTGCGAATATTATACGAATCGTGATTAACAATCGGATAATATAATGTACATTGATACAAGAATATTGCTGAGTTAGCTTGACTACACCGCCACTCCAGCTGTAGTGGCCCAAGCAATCAACTGAAAGCTAGGTCTGCTTGATAGTCAAGCAGATTCTGCTTGGCACTGCAAGGCTAATGTGACATATCACAAACGAAGTGAAATTTTTTAGTGATTCTGTCTTCGTGTTCCAAAACATATACAATAAGCTGTTGTAAACTTGATTATACCAAGCTTATTGTACTTCGTTTGTGATCCATCATTATAAGCTTTGCAGTGCCAAGTAGAATCTTCTTAGCTGTCAAGCAGACCTTATTTTTAGTTACCTGCTTAAATACCTATATAAATAATACTAAAAGTGTTTGTTTTTTTTTTGCTAATAAATCTATCATCGTATTCTTTCTTATGATAATTCTTGTGGCTTTACCATAACTTTTATGATTATTCAGTAGTCGTATGATGAAGAAAACGAATTTTAGAAAGCAAGTGGGATTGCTCAGAAATCTTATCATTCCATACAAAATTTACCTGTCAAGAGAAATATGTTAGAGTATATACGCAAAACTTAGCTATATTCGCAACTTACGGTACCAGATTAAACCTCAGTCCGTTTTGAAAGACGTAGATCATTTAATATGTAGTCATACATATCTGAAAAAACATGGTATAAATTGAGTGATATAATTATTTTTCAAGGTATTCAAAGTTATGAGTACATTGTCGTACATACAAGCCATGTCTGTCTATCTGAGAAAGTTTTTATTGCAATAAAAGCTTTGTACAAAAACAATGCTACTAATTCTAAAGTTTTAAAATATTGGTAAATCGTTCATAAGCAATAGGTGTAAAATTAGTTTTACAGTGACAAAAACTGGAATAGAAGAAACTGTCGACTATCTAACAATGCATTCGTTTCTCTCCCTACTAATTTATGACGTCTTCGGCGCCAGCAGTCTCGATATTTTATAGTCAGACCTTGTAAACATTTTTGTTGTACCTAAAATTGATGGGAAATTAAAAACTTACAAATCCTGTATATTTCTAATGAAAAGTGCTCTCAGTTTTATACATTATATACATTTTATACATTATTAGTTAAAAAAAAAAAACAAAGAAATTATTCTACGATGAATTAAATTATTTAATTTTGACGAATGTGAAGAACTTTAACTTACATTTTTTTACTTATTTTGTAGGTGGGAATCAACGTGAGCTGGCTAGGCAAAAAAATATGAAAAAAACTAATAGTAAAAAGGCTGCGGCTGAGCAAGATAGTAACAAAGGACTTACTTTAGAACAAAGGAAACAAAGGTATTTTGGATCACAGTTTAATAGCAATACTAATCATTGTACTAAAAATTAAAAAATCGTAATTCTCAGTTTTGTTTAATTTAATAAAATATATACTTTTTATTTTAGAGATGCAGATATAATGAGAGAAAAACAATTGAAAAAGCAGCAAGATGCCGAAAACCAAACTGTAAAGTAATAATTACAAAATTTTGTACATTTATTTGTAAATAATATCATGGGCGATATTCTTATGATTGAATTTCTTTAAAAATAATTATTGTGCAAGTATTTTAAAGGACTAGTGTAAGAATAAGTATATGTTTCAATACTTCTAGCATATTACCATTATTTATAAAACTATGAGGCATATTATCATCATGAATAAAATCTATAAATTATTTTACATAAATATTGTGAATAAAATCATTATCATCACACAACAGAATTCTTGTTTGATTATATAAGATTTAAGAACCGCATTCACATCAAATATAAAGATCGTGCTGCTTGTGTATTTATCCATTATACTGTGATTGGTTATTTTAATCTTCTTGTCTTTTATGTTTTTTCATGCTTTAAAATTATTTTGATGAAATTACATTAAATATATAATGATGATACACATACGTATCAATTTCATACAATAATAAAAATTTTGCATCACATACGTCATTCCCGGAGTCCATTTGGAATCTATTACAAATTTTTTTTTTGGTTTTTTTTTATTTTTTGTTAATGTGATGCAAAATATAACATCACAAAATACATTTTACACGATAAAAATGCATGTTTCAACTTTTATACGAAGTCAAAATTAACAAATAACGATGTATTTTATTAATACCTAACTTCATGGGTTTTTACATTGTTTGCTTGTATTTACATACCTTAATTAGTTTTTCAGTCCAAAAATCCTGACTAGCTCAAAAAAAAAGTGTAGTAGTTTCAATGTATTATAACAAATCGAAACAGAATTTAACAAGTAGACATGTAAGCAAAAGCCCCCAAAAATGGCAAAAATGGCCAAAACATGTTTTTTACGTTTAGAAGAAAACCAAAGGATTGTACATAAAGAAATGTTTCGTAAAAAAGATGTGGAATTTTAAGACAAACAAAATGAGCAGCGATAGGTTCAGATCGGTTCTGCCGTTTTTCGCAAATCGCAAAAAACTGCCATTTTGAGTTTTTTTTCGAAATTCAATAACTCGCATTCTGTACAGTATTTAGATCTGAAATTATAACACCAGACATATATCACAGCCCTTATCATACACAGCTTAAGCGGTTCTAAACTTCTTGCAAACCGCAGCAAAAAGCGAAAAATGACCATAAAAAAGTTGTTAGCCAACGTAGGTATATTTTTCAAACGTATTTCGCTTCGTCTATATTTACTCTACAACTACCTACAACGCCTCATTTTTTCCCCCCGCACACCCTGGTCCCACTACAGCCTCTTTAACCCCCCACAATACAAGGGAGAATTGTTTTTATTTCTCTGAATTGAATCCAATAAAAATTGTGTGAACTCCCCTCGTAAATTTAGTAATGCCCACCACCCCTCCACAGAAACTTAGAATATTTTGAGAAAATATTATAATCATCCTATTGTAATGAAAATATGTTAAACAAGGACACATAGATGGTAATTTGCCCACCTAACAGCCTTCTCCCACATGTTCCCACAAAAACTTAGAATGTATTGTAAAGATACTTTATCATAGGGTCATTATGGAATACTTACCCCCACACCCCCCAAATTAACTAATGATTTTTTGTGAAATTACTTTATGAAAGGGACAAGAAGGGCTAATCCCCTACCCCTTCATTAAAAAATTAAAATTTTTCTTAGATGCCTATTATTTTTATATTTGTCGACACCTCACCTCTACTGTACATAACTTCGATTTTGTTTTTTCTGTTTCATCAATTTTTGTGTCAATAACAATAAATTTGATAATAAATAAGAACTTTCTAAACAAAGGTAGTTTACGGAGTGGAAAGTCTTAATGGTATATCGAATTACATTACGTTTAAGGTTGCTAATTTGGGAAAACCTACGGAATAAAATATGTTTCATTCAATAGATTTAATCTACTGAATCCAACGGTGTCCTTGTTTATACCCCAAGTGGAGTAAAATCTCGAGATATTTCAGCTCAAAGTTGAACTGTTCCCCACGAGCTGAAATGGCAGAGCATCAAAATATCAGTTTTACAGGCATTTTCCACTTCACAATATAAAATCTCAGCAGACAAATTATGATGTACTTTTAGAAAAATCTCTGTTCTTCTCAATACTGTCATGTAAAATTCTGGTAACGCGGCATTTTACAAAGACATTTGCCAAGAAAGACGAGAAAATCAGCTTCATGGTTATAAATGACAGACGGTAGCAGAATGCCAACACTGATGTACGTATATACGTATACATACACAAGTGAAACTCTCCTACTTGACTAGAGCAGTAGACAAGGGAGCTACTTTAAACCCTTTTATATAGTACATATAGTATTTTTAACTAACTTCACACAATTGTTTGTTAATCGTGATAAAGACCAGCTTATAATAAATAATTCATCTGTCATAAGTATTGCTAAAATAATTAAAGTTATTATGTTTCAATATTTTATTTTAAAATTTAACGCGTGAATATTTTTGATGCAATTAATTTTCGATAACAGATAGTAAAAAAAAAAAAAAAAATGAGAAAGTTTTTAATTTTGGAAATGGGAAGTAAGCCCGCAGAGAGCGTAGCCTCACCATTTATATATTAGCGGGGCTACGCCTTCTGCGCAATGTATATCATCATGTTTAACAGTCATCTCTGAGAACGATGCCCAATAGGCTGTGCATTGTTGTGTTACTCTGCATGTGTATGCTATAATCATTGGCATATTAAAAAACTACTTCAGATTTAATATGATCAATCATTTACACAGCAATAGGAACCTTATTTTACATGGCTTCTGAACCATCAGACTATAGATTAAGGAGGTTTGGGAGTATCGTTCAGAGAACCGAGGAACGGGGAGTCCCCTCTGCCCGCGCATCTGAGCCCCCTTCACTGCTCACCTCCTCGCAAGAGTGAAAACTTTACAAACTTGAAACTGTACGACTGTAACTGCTTATAATTTTGAAAAATGCCTGGCAATGCTTTATTTTTTTTTGTCGAGCATCTTCCCTTTGTACCAAGTTATCTATGAAAACGTTTTTTTTATTCCAACACATTTAGAATATACCTTAATTTCAATTAAAAGACAAACCTAACCTTGTTCTCTCATAAGAGACCGTGTTAAACTGCCAATATTTCATAATTTTTTTCTTGAAAGAAATTTGAAAAATCTGGAAAAATTCATGTACATTCCTAAAATGCTCGAATATGACATACATTTTTTTTGGCACGTTTCTCCATTTTGAACTTTTCTCCCAACCCTCCTTAATATACGCAAATGAGCAATTGTTTTTTCAGAGGTGCAAGCCAAGTGTGCAAAGATCGGTTCTTAAACTCGGAAGCACGTGTTGCTAAGTTTCCGAGCTATAAAAACCTCAACCCTAACTACCGTGCTACCATGATCCTCCTATTCACTACAAACTGACGCAGAGGTTGGGCCCTTTGTAGTTAAAATCAGGCGAAAATTCTTGCATGTAAATAAACGGCTTTGAGCATATATACGTCTGTATAGCTGCTTGTGATTGTCACTGGAACGTACATTGGTAGGCTAGAGAGAAAGAACGATAATTTCCTTCTGCTGTCTCCTTCAGCTAATAATAAGCAGCTACACGTATATATATGCTTTTAGCCGTTTGCTTATATGGAAGAGCTTTTGCCTTATTTTGGCTAGAGAGAGCGCAACCTCTGCATCGGCTCACAGCGAATATGTATATCAACTATAGTGAAAGAATAAGTGGTACTTAACGCGCGTGTGTGTGAAAAAGTGAGTGTGAGTATTCTGACGTATGCTGACACTTTACTAACAAAAAGCTTATTTATGCAGACTTTAACAAAACTTTAAGACTTAACAAAAATTTAATCCAATAAAAATGTGGTTAAAACTGATAAAATTTCACTTTGTTCAGAGGGTGGCCGAGAGGGGGTGGAGGAGGGGCTGAGGTGGGTTCATCAAAATTGAAAAGAGCGGCCAAAGGGGGAGGGGATGGCTAACCAATAATTTAGCCCAATAAAAGTTGCGTAAAAACTATTCAAATTTTACTTTATTTAGAGGGGGGCTGTGGGGCGGCCGAAGAAGGGGGTTTGTGAGGAATGACCCTTCAAAATCACTTTATAATGTAGGAATATATATATGAGGCATTCTCCGTCAACTCGGCCACCCCCGCCTGTCCAAAATTGGGTACGATTTTTTCGTATTACCTCTAGTTTTAAATGCTGAGTGGCGTTTGTCGAATTTCGAAAATGGCGGACCACTATGACGCAAACAAGTCAACCTCCTACCGATGAAAAAACAGTTATTTTAACCTAACACATGCATCACTATTTAGAAAATTGTGCAAATATTTTTTTCTTATGTATTTTATAACGCTGATGACGAATTCACTCTTCTTGTTTATTGAAAACCAAATGTGTCGTTCCTAACCTCAAAAAACCTATTAAAAAGTAATTTTTAGCGTTCAACAATCCACCAACTCATAATAAAGAAAATGTAAAATCTTATTGGTATGTATTTTCAATAATTTAATGTAGAAGTAACCATTCCTTTGATCATAAGTACTAATTTTCAAACCTAACCCTTAAAAAAACCTATTAAAATCAAATATTTCATGGCAAACTATCGACCAAGTACTAATAAAAAAAAAAAAAGCTGTTTTGTACTTACTTTTATTGATTCGATGCCAAATCACCCTATTTTCAGTTATAACGACTGTTTGCTGCACCTAACCTCAAAAAACCTTTTAAAAAAGCAGTTGCATTCGATTACAGTCCTAACTAACATGAATTGGAGAAAAAACTCACATGAGTGTATTTTTAATTCTAGTCTTTTCTTATTTTTGACTTTACATTCTGTACGTCGTCCCTAACCTCAATAACCTTTGGGAAAATTAGTTTTTTGTTCTCCATTGTTTTAGAAATCCTCATCATTATAATTGAAAAACATTTGAGTGTATCATTATCAACGCAACATACAGTTAATCTGTTCCTTAATCAGAAATACTGTGAGTTTTCTTAACTTCAAAAAAAATTTTTTAAAGGAGGTTGTGTTCTAAACTTGGTTCAATTATTTATCCTAAAATTTAGACAGTCATAGTATTTTAAGGTAAAAAATGCATTTAAAGCTACCTCTTCTATCTTTAAGATTGGCTGATAATATCCCAATGTTAATTTTCGTTTGAAGTGTTATCTATTGTCTCCGACTTT